TTCTTTTTCTTTTTCCTTCCTTCCTTCCTTCCTTCCTTCCTTCCTTCCTTCCTTCCTTCCTTCCTTCCTTCCTTCCTTCCTTCCTCTTTTGTTTTTAAGACAGGGTTTCCCTGTGTAGCCCTGGCTACCTTGGAACTCACTCTGTAGACCAGGCTGGCCTCGAACTTACAGATCCGCCTGCCTCTGTCTCCTGAGTGCTAGGATTAAAGGCGTGCACCACCACCACCCAGTGACACTTTTTAAAGTGTATGACAATTCACATATATCCAAGTACACCCGGGGAACAAATTCATTAAGAAACCAAAAATACCCAGAAGTGGTGGCTTTGAACTCACCATCTTCCTGCCTCTGTCAAGAGTTGGTATTCCAAACATACATAGCTATGCCTGCTAACTACTTACTAAATCTTTTTTTTCTGGTTAGAAACATGGGAGGCATTTCAGCCAAGTAAGAAGTTGTCAGTAAACATTTGAGTGGGTCACTAGGTGTTGGAGACACAAAAGTCAAAAGGCACATCATCTTTGCTTGTGGTCTGTCAACTCAAGTTCGTCTCTCCACCTGTCCTTACCATTAATTCTTAACGAGTTCTTACGGAAAAGTCCATGTTTAGAGCCACAAAAGCTTCTACTTCTTCCACTGCCGGCTTCCTGTCATCCCGGGCTGGCAGAAGGATTACCACAAACCCGAGGCCAGCCAGGGGATTAGCCTGAGCCGCATGGTAAGAACCTGTCTCAAAACCAACATACGAAAAACTATTCTGATGCTACTGAGTAAAATTTTACAATTATCATACCAACTCACCAATTTCACTAATCTCTTTAGGATAGAGCACTCTAACTGCAGAGTGCAAAAATTTCCAATTAACACTCAGAGTGAGAAAAATAGAAAAACTAAAATTTAAAAACATTTTCTATTTGAAATCATTCTTTGAGTATGTTGAAAAGAGGAGACTGGCAATATTATCTCACATCCAGGTCCATAAATAGCAGAAAGGCTACATGAGCTCCCAAAGTTCTTGTCTATTTTATGGATGAAATGCCCATCCTAGGTCTCATCCTAGTTTTTTTTTTTTTTAATCACAATGTCTGAAGGGCTCCCACAACTGAAAAACAGGACATTCATTTACCTTTACAAATTATTTTATTACCAGTTTTAGGAAGAGCAGTTTTCATATAGAAAGCTCCATTCCAATTATTGTGCTAAGGTAACAATAATTAGAAAACTTTAGAAAACACGACACTAGCTTATTAAGCTGTTAAAAGAACCGTTGAGGAGCTGGAGAAAGGGTTCAGTTCTTAATTGCACTTGGTGCTCTTCCAAAGGACTCAAGTTTGGTTCCCAGCAACCACATTGGGAGGCTGACAGCTACCTGGATCTGCAACTATAGGGATCTGGTGCCCTCTTCTGGTGGCCTTGGGAACCTGCACACATGAGGCATACATTCATAGAGACACATACACATAAATTTAAACAGCAATCTTTAAAAAATGTTGAAAGCTTCAGCATCTAGTACAGTTGTTGAAATTACTAACAATTTTATTTTGATTGAGGACCAACAGATTCTGCTTGGACAAGATGCCAGGGAATAGTAAGTGAGTAATGTGAATAAAACCTTACACAGAAGGAAGCAGCGAGGCCATGTAGTCCCAAACCAAAGCTGACAACACCTTTTCTCCTTTTTAGCTTTCCAGTCGCCTGTTAAGCAGGGCATCAGTAATGTTGCTGTGCCAGAGAGGTGGGTTTGCTACCAACACCATAGCCGCTCTCAGAGGGTCTGAAACACCTGAGAGTCACCTAAGGGAGCTCTGCAGTGAGTCTGGCGTGGAGGCCAGGCCTCAGAGATCTGGGCACAGACCCATATCAAGAGCCTGTGCGCTATGGTAATACTTCCTCTCAGGGAACAACGTGTCCCTGGGAGGAGCTGGGTTACAGAGGTGCCTGATCTGTGGGTAGCAAAGATGAGACTTGTTCTTGCTGCGGCGAGCGTGCCAGCAGGAAAAAGGTATCATTTTGTTATTTTCTTATTCAAAGAGAGACCGTTACACTGGTGACGCTGTCATCAGTGCTCAGGGAGGCCAAGGACAGACCAACATTTGGAAATGACAGTTGCCATCAAGCACCTAGGCCAGTGACTGGTGGAAAACAGGCGCTTAATGTTGTTTCTGAAAATCCAACAGCGGGAATGACTGTTGATGGATATTTGATCCCACTAGCCACAGGTGCCTACATATTAAAAATTAAAATTCAACAATGCTTTTCAGTTGCAGTAGGCACATTTTAACTGTTGAGGTGGCCAGTGTCATCCGTAGCTCACAACAGAGACACAGAACAAGAACAAGATCAAAGCAGAGTTTGAGTGATGGAGGGTAGTCTACAGGAACTGTTCCCAGAGGGCAATCCCTTCTACACAATGCTTCATGATTTATTCATGTGATCAAAGTGTTAATCTACGTGTTGTTATGAAGTGAACACCTGAAAACATTATCAGCAGATAATCACTTTCAAGCATGCATTATGAAGTCATTTGGGAAGGATTTGGAACTGAAGGACAAGGAAATAAACACACAACACATTGCAGCATAAATGTCTGCAGCAACTTCCTGGAAGGGCACGATCCCAAGTGGAAGACTCTGTCAGTCTAAACTATACTTGCTTTATGGATCAAAGCCAAGACAGGAGCAGCTGCTATGAGAATGCAGTTCCCAAGTCAAGAACGACTCCTACTACAGTGGCTGACTATTGCTAAAATACAGATGGAAAAATAAATTCGGAAGCCGAAACTCACTTCTGAGAGCTTTGCATTCTTAAGGCAAAACGGGTAACACGAAAGTAGTTTATTTTTATTTGGAGTTTTGAGACAGGCTCCCAATATAGCTTAGGCTGACCCTGAATTCACTATGTAGCTGAGGATGACCTTGAAGTCTTGATCCTCTTGCCTTTACCCACTTAGTGTTGGGATTACAGATGTGTGCCACCATGCCTGGCCTAAGTAGCCGATTACTAATCACTTAGGGATTTTTTTTTTAAGAACCATAAAACATAATACTCGGTAAGGGCCTAAGAGAAAACAAAAGCTCACTTCGGAACTAACTAGTAACAGATCAAGATGTCCTGACATTAACCCCTTTATAATTAATTGCTACTCTTTCTATTGATTAATACATAAAAGAGTGGCTGCGGCTTTCATATTAAATTTGAAAACAACACTCTTTACTACTGAATCCACAGTATGAGTGACACATGCTAAGCAAAATGAAGACTCCATCTTTTTATCTAGGAAGCACATAAATATATTTGGGGGCAGTGGCATTGCGGCTACCACTTTTCCCAAAGACACCATGGAACAAATGGTCCTTTAATCGAAACCTTCATGGTATCTTCAGAACACTGTTGCAGAAGCTCCTGAATTCGCTCCTCTAAAATCACTCTCCTGAAGCACTTATTAATATTTCTGAGCCATAGCCCCAGGGAATGTGAGTCAAGAGAGTGAAGAGAAAATTTAGGGCTTCACATTTAGTTATTTCAGGTAATTCTGATGTAGGTGGTTTGCCCAGAACAAGTTTATACCTTTACATGGTCTACAGCATAATAGTGTTCCTTTCGCTTAACAGTGTCCTGACTGGACATCATATGGTCCACTTCCCCCACATGTGGGCTATATTTATGAACATTTACCGCTATGAATTTCCCGTGTTTTACATATAGGGTGGGTATGCCCTAAAAATGTGCTTTCAGCATCCTTTGCTACAGAGAACACAGATTATGATTTTTTACTCTGATCAATCAAAAGAACTCGTCAGTGTCCTTGTGCATCCCGGCAACATGCAAAGGAGCTTGCTGCTGCTTATGTGTCAAACTTCAGAGACAGAAGGCGAAGTTTATCTACGAGAGAGTGCGGAGAACACAGAGAACGCAGAGAGCTCAGAAAACACACACTAATGAGCCGTGAGAAACAACTGCCGCTTTATTGTTCTGGTTACCAGGGTACAGAACTGCCCGTGTGAGGCAGGGGAGGTCTGGTTATGACAAACAACATTGCTCAGCAACTCAAGAGGAGCGTGGTCCAAGTCACACAGGTCTCCGGTTGTGCTTTTCCAACAGTCACAACACACTTCTGTCTGTGGAACCCAGAGTGACAAATGACCCCATCTAGTCATTCTTCATTCATGACAGCATAACTTATGGGGTTGAGCTTCATTCTACGAAACACAAGGTTGCTTGGGAACTGTGGACATGTGTGTACATTCATCACCGGGACTAAGTCAACAGAGGCACGGAGTGAATCAGGTCAGACTTGAACTTATGGGCACAGACTGCCATGGACATTTATTACATGTGTAAGTTAATATTTGTCTCTTATCAAACCAGCAATTATTCCATTTAGACAACACTAATAAGTCAAGGAGTTACAAAGAGAACCTGGCAAAGTGTTGAACTTTTCACTCACACCTTTCGCCTAGTTCAAGCATCTCCTAGGCATTCCAAAGTTGTGTTCTAAGGAAAGTTTCATTTCAAGCACTTGGGTGGGAAATTGGAACAGCAAATGCGCTGTTTATAAACCATAAGCAGCAATTATGATTTCAAATAAAGTCAAAGCACAGATTCAGCAGAGATTAGGGTTAGCCAGCCCTTTCTTCTAAAAGTGTCCTTGTCCAGGACTGGCTCAAGCACAACTCGAGCTCCAATTCTGAGGAGAGAGTCAAGAGAGAAGCATCTGGAACAATGAACAAAAGGGAAGCTGTGGGGACAATAGGAGCCAATTCCTGCAACACTTAGTATAATTCACAGTCATTTGTTTCCTCTGGTTTCAATGCTGGGGTAGAAGGCAGGCCTCCGAAGTGCTCAGCCGCTGTGCTACATCCCTAGCCCAGGTCCTTTGCAAATTTGAAATCACTCAGTGCTTTATACATTGTAGGTAAACTTTGCCTTCGCTGTCCACCTGAGTCCATACACTTAGTAGTCTCAAAAAAGTGTATTGGTCTAAATCATGTGTCCCCTCTAAGCGGAACTTTTTGATGTGAAAAGGACCCAAATGATGTTGTGATGGTTTACCCAGGAAGTTATAGAAAACCCCCGACAAGAAAGGGAGCAGATCCGGGGCCTTCTAGACTGTGCCTTCTATTTCCCTTTTCATGCTGGATCAACAGCGGGGAAAATTCTGCCTCCCAAAAGGACTTGCCAAGTGAGGCTGCACGATCCAGCCTGGTCCCTCTTTAGTGGCCGACAGTCTCAAGTCTTCTCATATCCCTACAGTGACAGGCTTCAGTTGCCAATAGGCTTACACATCCTAATTCAAGATGTGGGATAGTAAGTTCAACATTTAAGTTAAAGGCATGAGCCAGTTCTTCCTAAAAATATATAAGGATTTTTAGTTTCAAAAATAAAGACTGAAGCTTCTCAAAATAGTTTGAATGACAAAAAGGAAATGGAAATTAGGGGAAAGGGATGTCACAATGTAAACAATATCACATTTGATACTAACCCTGAGTCCACAACCTTTCTGGATATGACGTTCAGCATGGCTAAATGATAACTGTCAATCATCACAGTTAACTTTCACAATTTCTTTGAGGCTAGCATGCATCAATATTCAAAACAGTTTATACTGAACATTAATATTTTATTTCTTCTTTATCAAGAATCTGAAGGTAAGATCATTTTAAACAGAATGTAGTTCTGTTATTAATATGCATTCTGTTGGAACTGTGCCATTTTCAATTAATTTGTGATGTCAAGTTGAATTGGAAGCAGTTAGACCAGTCCCACCTGCCAGACTCTGGCATCTTTTAACTGAGCAAACTGCAGGGCCAGCATTGCTTAGTTACCGCACATACAGGATCTCTGACATCTGCAAAAGTTATCCAGAGCATTGAAATTAATAGGCACTTTTAAAGGAAGTCAGAATTACTTAATGGGGTGTTCTTTTAACTGAAAGCTTACCACCTCAAAAGGAGCCAGTTCCAAATGAGTATCGAGCCTTCACTGAAAAGTTACTAAACAATTGGCCAAACAGAACCAAACTTCGGGGGGGGGGGTGTCTATGAAAATCTCACCTCCACCCTACACAAAGGAAATCTGGGTGTCACTTCTTTCGAAAAGGGTAAGCTTATATTGCTGAGATGACAATACCTTTGAAACTCTCCCTGGGAAATTTAGACGAGTACCATATCTGAACAAAACAGTTGCAGATCCTATCAGAGCCATTCCCTGAGACAGGCAAGGTGAGAGAAAAGCCTTTACTCAGAAAGAGATAACATCTGAAAACAATTTGATCTAAGTTTCATCTTATTGTTTTAAATTTCAAGTGAGCACTCACAGGAAGGCACGCTTGAGATGAATCTTTCTTACATGCTCTCCCGATACTTCCTTTAAAGCCACCGTTCGATAAAGAACTAAACACATAGTTCTCATCATTTACACAAACGAGGTAGAATCCTAAGAGAATTCACTGGAAGGAAAGTGTAACTCTTCATTTTTGCAAACTATAATAGGAAAAAGTTAGAGCAAGCTTAATGGAAGCCTGGAGTGATTAGAACTTTTAAAGAATGCAAGTATAATTTGGTACTTTTGAAAAATAGAATGTGAAAAACAAATCCAAAATACCTCTCTATGTAAATTAAAGCCCAAGCCATGGTATTCAAAATTAAAATGATTTACATAATCTACTATCCTCTGTGTTTTTAGTAATTAACCTTCCTGAGGCTGATTTTGTTCTCCTTACTGTTTGCTTAACTAAAACGCTTAATAAAATTTCTACAGAATATATTACCCTCTCCATAGATGAATATTATTTTGAACTACAATCTGACAAAAACCTAACTACATTTAATTATGCCTGATTAATACAAATGTCACTGAGAGATTTCTAGAAGAGAGACTTTTTTTCAGGTTAAGTTCATACTCTTTCACTGTACACATCCCAGATCTGTTCTTCCCATCTCAACTCTCTAGTGGTTTTTAAATGTCTCAGCCAAAACCCAATCGTCCTAACTGGACCACGAGACTCCACACATCAAGCTTTATTTCCTTTCGCTTCCAAGGGCTTGTGGACAGACCTCCATCAAAGGCTGATGTCACCACTTGGAACTGGTTGGTACTGTGCCTATCGTCACCTACACTTAAGGAGCGAGCGTGCTGAGTACTGGGGTCAGTTCAGCAATCGGGGTAAATTTCTGTACAGCAAACTGCACACACGGCCTATTTGGACTTCATTAAAACACTCAAAGCATAGTGTGAGATGAGGCGTGCTTTCCTTTAATACAGGAACAGAACTACCAAATACCTGCAGACTTTCAGTCCCGATGCTCTAAGGTGAGTCTGTCGATGGAAAACCAGGCAGTTTAAAGGGTGGGGAATTGGATGGACCTATGGACACTATTAAAGGGGACACTCTATCCCCTTCCCGAATCAGGAAAGCCTCACTGCTGGGGCACTCAGATCTGTCCCAAGGAGTCAGAGAGGTGGGCCTGGAGAACAAGTCCCCACTGGACCTCTAATATTCCCTCTGAGGGAAAGCGAATTCCGCCAGGGAGCTGTGTGGCATTCACCAGCTGACAGCCCATGTTGCAGCCACTTCAAACTACCGTGCAGACAGGAGGAATTCATGTCACTACTTCGGCAACAGAAATAGGGAAGTAGAGGTTCCTCCAGACTTCTGTGGCTGGAATACCACCGTCATCTTGGCAAGTGAACATAGCTGCTATCAACTGGCAGATTTCAGAGGGAAGCCTTCTTGGATCCCCTTCCTCCACCTCTGCAATGAGTTGACGTGTTAAACAGGACCCCCTCCTGAGCAGCAGCAATTTTAACTCTAGCCTCATTAGCCAGATACTTCTAAGCGTCTGACTAAGACACTATTACATTTATTTAGTGTGCGAGACTGCATGTGCCACAGCATCTGTGCAGAGGTTGGTGGACAACCTGCAGCAGCTGGTTCTCCCCTTCTCCCACGTGGGACCTGAAGGCTGACCTCAGTCGCCAGTCTTGACGGCAAGCACCCTTACTAGCTCAACCATCTCACTGGTCCTTAAATGGGCATTTGTGAAGTCCTAAAAAGATGTGCCCGAACCTGTGGTGAGATCTGATGGTGAAAGCTGGCCCCTCTCAGCTGACCACACTCCCTGCTGGTGGGAGACAATGACTGGAATGGCTCAGTCCCATTCTCTACTAGACGCTGTGGTACGAGGACCTCAGCAGGGACCCCACAGGGTAGAGTGAAGAGCCAAGCACAGAAGACAGACTCTCACTTCAGACGGAGAGATAAAAGGAGACAGTAACGGGAAATCATGAACACTGCCTTCTCTGAAGAATACCCCTGGTCCTTTATGAGACTGAAGTCTTTCATTTTCCCCACAGCACGTGCTCTGAGTGAAGCAGGAAATGACTCTATCTTGTCCCTACTAGGACAGGAGTTCACGGGGCAGGGGTTCACTCTGCTTTCATCACCGTCACATGGCCAGCAGTGAGTGTCGTTTCTAGCACGTGGTAGAACAATGTATTGTTGGAACCGAAGACCGAACCCCATCTTCTTTCCCATGACTCCTCTACCTGCCTCCTTCACTTCTGGTGTCCCTTAGCTGAGGACAGCTGTGTCCGATCATCTATTTCACAACAGCGCAGTGCAAGGCAGACTGACCTCAGGGAATGACTGCTCAGCCTTGCACAGTTCACTGGATGCTGCAAGGCTATCTTTTGTGGTCCTTGACTATGGGATGGGAGCTGGGAAGTTAAAGTTTGCTGCTGCTGCTGCTGATGTCTACTAGACTGTCTGGCTACTGAGGCAAGGAGCTTTCAGTTCTACAAGCATTCTAAGTAAGCCCTTACCCCATGATCTACCTGCCAATACACTTTCATAGCATTACCCCGTGTTCTTCTGTGGTGGGCCCCAGACCTACAAACTACAATCACAAGAATAAACCATAACGAAGCCTTCATGCCTCTCTCTTTACATCCTCCCTCCCCTCTTCTCCTGTTCTATTCTTCCCCTCCCTCTTCCTCCCTCTCCTTTCTTTTCACACAGGTTCTCACTATGTAGCCCAGGTTGGCCTTACACTTTGCTCCAGCCTTTACCTCCTGCATGCTGGGATTACAGGGGTATGTATATCAGCAGGACCAACAGAATTTTCTATTTCTTAATGAACCACATTTTAAAATGGTTGACTGAAAAGACAGAAAACATGTCACAGTGAAGCTCTTAGAATGGTCAACACCCTCAGTGAGGCGGCCTACAAACTACTAATAAAACAAGCTTATACTTCTCTTGATAACTCTGATTATGCCCTAGTTTGAAGTATTCTGCCATATTTAACTAACAAATTAATCATTGTCAATGGCTGATAAGGTCTCAAGTTCATTAAAATTTCCCATGTCCCATCTATTTTCCAACCAGAAGGTACCGCTTTCTCTAATCAGTGTGACAGGAACTGGAGTTAAAAGTTATCTTTTCATCCAGAACAGCAAACAAAACTCCTTCATTGATTAAACCGTTAATGGTGCTCCCCTGCTGGCGATATCGGTTCCTTCTGTTTACTAACATATAGATTATGAAGGACATTATCTTGAAAGTCAATGTTTAAGCATCTGGACCACCGGGAAAGTCAGCAGAATAAATATATGTTTGTGTAAGTGTTCTATCCCCCCTGGCCAGCACACATGTCTAAAAACTGAGCAAAAAAATGATCTATGATGAAATTAATAAGAGCCACAAGCCCACAGCATGGTCTCCAGGAGTGTGCCTGACAGAGTAAGCAAAAGATACACAAATACATTCTGGAAAAAAAAATGATTTCAGAAACCCTGAAATTTTGAGACCAAACAGCTTAGTCCTCAAAGACATAAGGCATCAAAGAGGACTAACATATGAGCTAAGAGATGTAAATTTAAAAAAAAAATGCGAATATGACAGAAGTGAAAGCAAGCCATGAGGCCTAGAAAAACAAACAAACAAACAAACAAACCAGTAGAGAAAACAAGTTGGTGGAACGGAGGATAAGACCCAAGGGGTGGAAATCACACCTGAAGGAAGACACGGAGATGAAAGGCATACGAAAGATAAACGTGAAAGATGGGTAACACCAAGCTGAGAGAGAACCACATTTCTGAAGAACACAACAGTACAAAATGATACAAAATGTAATAAGGCCCAATATGTGACTGGAGCTCACTGTGCACCAGGAAAAGCCAACAGACAACTACCAACCTTGAGCTCTACTGAAATGAAGTTACAAAATATCAAGGATAAACATGCAACCATGCCAAGGAAGCAAGTAGTTTACAAAATGGAAAGAAAAACCCATCTGTACTCGAGGGCTTCAGAGCACCAGCAGATATAAACAATAAAGTCTCTAAAGAATGCAGTGGGAAAGCCGGGCGGTGGTGGCGCACGCCTTTAATCCCAGCGCTCGGGAGGCAGAGGCAGGCGGATCTCTGTGAATTCGAGGCCAGCCTGGGCTACCAAGTGAGTTCCAGGAAAGGCACAAAGCTACACAGAGAAACCCTGT